TGGAGGGGAGGAGAGAGAGAGATACATGATAATATATACCTGGAAAATACTCGAGAGCCTGGTCCCAAATCTGCACACTGCCATAACATACTGGAGTGAGAGATATGGGAGGAAGTGTAAAATAAACCCAGTGAGGAGCAGGGGTGCAGTGGGGACAATATGGGAACACTGTATCAACATCTGGGGTCCCAGACTATTCAACATCTTACCAGAAGATATCAGAAACACAGCTGGAACAAGTGTAGAAGCCTTCAAGAGGTGCCAGATCAACTAGGCTGTGATAGATATGTGGGACAGCAGTCCTCCAGCAGCAACAGCCTGGTTGACCAGGGAAACACCAGACGAACCTGGCCCATGGCCGGGCTTCGAGAATAGTGAAACTCTCGAAATCTTCAAGGGCATATCAAAGGTAAGGTAAGTCCTAGCAGGAGATTTTAATGCCCATCACCCTGCTCTCTTCAGCTGCAGCGCCGCCGCTCAATCACTAGGCGACCAAAAGGGTAAGCAGCTCTTCAATATAATGACAGCAAGAAACTTATCATTCTAAGGCCCATTCTTCAAGACATATGTGGGCCCCCACCCTGGGACTCCTGACGTAGTACTTACCAACAGAGACTGCGACCTATTCCACTGCAAAGTCTCACCAGGCGGTAATGGTGGGTCAGAGCACATTCCTGTTCTAATAAAGCTTTACAACTCACCATTCCACATACCCACCCACCCGAAACTCAACTCAAGATCACTAGGCTTTGACCAGTTCAGGGACTGAACATTAAAATGGTATAAAATACCGACAGGTTGTTAGGTAAGACATATATGCAACAGTTAGGTATCTTTATTTCGAAACGTTTCGCCTACACAGTAGGCTTCTTCAGTCGAGTACAGAAAAGTTGATAGAAGCAGAAGATACTTGAAGACGATGTAATCAGTCCATCACCCTTAAAGTTTTGAGGTGGTCAGTCCCTCAGTCTGGAGAAGAGCAGTGTTCCATGATATGAAACAATATGGAGATGAAGTGACAGGATGGAGCCTTATATAGCGCCAGGAGGTGAGACGTAGGTCACTAGGAGAGGTAAGAACTCAGATGCTGGGAGGACAGGTCCCTCTCAAATCCAGCCGTTCTCACTAGTAGAGGTTGTCGAAGTTGATTGTAGGTCTGTACCAAGATACCCTTGTGTCTGACACTGCAACACAAGGGTATCTTGGTACAGACCTACAATCAACTTCGACAACCTCTACTAGTGAGAACGGCTGGATTTGAGAGGGACCTGTCCTCCCAACATCTGAGTTCTTACCTCTTCTAGTGACCTACGTCTCACCTCCTGGCGCTATATAAGGCTCCATCCTGTCACTTCATCTCCATATTGTTTCATACCATGGAACAGTGCTCTTCTCCAGACTGAGGGACTGACCACCTCAAAACTTTAAGGGTGATGGACTGATTACATCGTCTTCAAGTATCTTCTGCTTCTATCAACTTTTCTGTACTCGACTGAAGAAGCCTACTGTGTAGGCGAAACGTTTCGAAATAAAGATACCTAACTGTTGCATATGTGTCTTACCTAACAACCAGTTCAGGGACTACCTAGGAAGTGATCATACTCTTTCTCTTGAGAACCAACTCTTAACTGCAATAGATGAGGCTATCAGCTCCTTCCACGATATAATCACTGAGGCCACCCAGTCATGCTGCGAACAACATCAAATACCTACCAGCAGTAAAAAACAACTAGAGATATTAAGGACAGCATGAATAATTATCAAGTTGAGTGTAAAAGACACCACCAAAACTTCACCTCTTAGCTGTAAAGCAGGTTATTTATCAAATCATGTTCGATTTGGTAAATAGCCTAAACAGACAGGGATATTTGGCTCAAATTGCTACTAGGGACGAAACAAAGCCTTCGATAGCCTGTAGCACGACGGCCTCATATTCAAACTTGTCGACGTTCCAGACCACAACTGGACCTTTCTCAGGCTCATATACAACTTCTTATCAGGTACAAGAAAGTCGGCAGAACTTTCACACCGACAGCTGGAGTGCCACGGATCGTGACTCGGCTCCATACTCTTTAATATATAGTAAACGATCTCCCCCAACTTGAATTCGACGATACTATCATCACTCAATTTACTGACGATGATATCCATGTTGTATCTTCCACCCGTATGTCGGGAATAAACAAGCATAGAAGGAAAATAGAGAAAATGAATGCGGAACTACGAAGAACAGCCAACTGGGAGAAAGTCCTCATCAGCACCATCGATTGCCTTGCATCAACTATTGACAACAAAAGAGGTATCTCAATCAGAGGTACGCCTATCGCTATAAGAAACTCGATTAAGATCCTGGGATATGATATCGACAGATTACTCCATTCAACATCTCACATCTTCAAAATACTGAACCTAGCAAAAGTCCGCCTCATCCAACTTCTCTCACATCAAGAAGTACCTTTACAAGTAAGACGATGATGAGACCTTCGCTTGGACATCCTTGCGTGCCTATGTGACTAAAAACAAATCCAACATGTTAAGGCTACAAAGAGTCCAGAACAGAGCACTCCGCTTTATTACTGTCACCAGGAAGAGAGACAGACTCAGGACGGAAGAACTACACATCCAACAGGGAATCGATGCAATAAATATCAGGATAGATAGACTAAAAAAGAGACAAGTATACGACATGCAAGAACTCTGTATACTTGACAAAGAAAACTCTCTACAACCAACAAACACCACCGACTACACCACCAACGCACCTCCCCACAGAATCCAAAGGGTCAAGCGCTTCACCTACAAGAAGAACTTCCCGAGACCAATGATCCTGAGTGATCTCCCTGAAGAGATAGAAGATTGGATACCATGTGAACTATTCTGTGTCCATCAAGGATAATAATACCCTAATATATGGAGACTTCACTTCAAACAATCTACGGCTTACAACTAACCTTGTATCATTCTCAAACATCCTATACAGTGCACCATCTCAGATAAAGATAAGCCAACCATCAACTCCAGGACAGCAGCCAAACTCCATCAAGCGACCTACAAATCAACCTCTTACGCGGAAAAAATAGCAATTGCAAAAAGTATACCTCCTTCCAACTCAGCAGCACACGAGTATACAGCTGGTATAACTGTGTGCAGCTGATGGGTAGTCGGGTATACCCCATCTTATGAATTTTATGTACTCGTGAAAAACACTACACACACACACATACTTGTATTAAAATGAACAAAGTGGTTAGGCCACTTACCTGTCCACCTATACTGTGGAAGACTGTCACCCCACACCTATACTGCGGAAGACTGTCACCCCACACCTATACTGTGGAAGACTGTCACCCCACACCTATACTGTGGAAGACTGTCACCCCACACCTATACTGTGGAAGACTGTCACCCCCACACCTATACTGTGGAAGACTGTCACCCCCACACCTATACTGTGGAAGACTGTCACCCCACACCTATACTGTGGAAGACTGTCACCCCACACCTATACTGTGGAAGACTGTCACCCCCCACACCTATACTGTGGAAGACTGTCCCCCCCACACCTATACTGTGGAAGACTGTCACCCCCACACCTATACTGTGGAAGACTGTCACCCCACACCTATACTGTGGAAGACTGTCACCCCACACCTATACTGTGGAAGACTGTCACCCCCCACACTTATACTGTGGAAGACTGTCACCCCCACACCTATACTGTGGAAGGCTGTCACCCCCCACACTTATACTGTGGAAGACTGTCACCCCCACACCTATACTGTGGAAGACTGTCACCCCCACACCTATACTGTGGAAGACTGTCTCCCCCCACACCTATACTGTGGAAGACTGTCCCCCACACCTATACTGTGGAAGACTGTCATCCCACACCTATACTGTGGAAGACTGTCACCCCACACCTATACTGTGGAAGACTGTCACCCCCCACACCTATACTGTGGAAGACTGTCACCCCACACCTATACTGTGGAAGACTGTCACCCCCCACACCTATACTGTGGAAGACTGTCCCCCCCACACCTATACTGTGGAAGACTGTCACCCCCCACACCTATACTGTGGAAGACTGTCCCCCCACACCTATACTGTGGAAGACTGTCACCCCCACACCTATACTGTGGAAGACTGTCACCCCCCACACCTATACTGTGGAAGACTGTCACCCCCACACCTATACTGTGGAAGACTGTCACCCCCACACCTATACTGTGGAAGACTGTCACCCCCCACACCTATACTGTGGAAGACTGTCACCCCCACACCTATACTGTGGAAGACTGTCACCCCCCACACCTATACTGTGGAAGACTGTCACCCCCACACCTATACTGTGGAAGACTGTCACCCCCACACCTATACTGTGGAAGACTGTCACCCCACACCTATACTGTGGAAGACTGTCACCCCACACCTATACTGTGGAAGACTGTCACCCCACACCTATATTGTGGAAGACTGTCACCCCACACCTATACTGTGGAAGACTGTCACCCCCCACACCTATACTGTGGAAGACTGTCACCCCACACCTATACTGTGGAAGACTGTCCCCCCACACCTATACTGTGGAAGACTATCACCCCACACCTATACTGTGGAAGACTGTCACCCCACACCTATACTGTGGAAGACTGTCACCCCCCACACCTATACTGTGGAAGACTATCACCCCACACCTATACTGTGGAAGACTGTCACCCCCCACACCTATACTGTGGAAGACTATCACCCCACACCTATACTGTGGAAGACTATCACCCCACACCTATACTGTGGAAGACTGTCACCCCACACCTATACTGTGGAAGACTATCACCCCACACCTATACTGTGGAAGACTATCACCCCACACCCATCCTTTGGTAGCGATTACAGAGCCACTTAATTGAATCAAGAACTGAGCCTCAGGATTTCTTCGCTAATCAGTTTAGTAGTAATGAACTATTTACAAACAATAATAATATTAATAAAATACTCACAGAAGTAAACTGAATATTGAAAGGATCATCAAATTTAACTCTGGTAGCAATGTCTGCGAGCATCGTCTTGTGGCAACTATCACCAGCGTCATACAGATCTCCAAACTTGTAGGTTCCACTGTGGTAAATATATTATATATATTAATTATCAATGTAAAGTAAGAAATGTGTTAAAGAGGACGTCTGCCTAAGACTGAAGTAAACATATCTTTTCTTATTACGTATTTCTTATTAATATTTATGGCTACAGAAGTAGAACTCTGCTCGTGGTGTTCAGTCTTTAATATTCATTTTTTATTGGAGATTTATAAACTACTTTTTTTTAATTATTCCATCACGGAGCCATTCTGGTAAGACATTTTTTTCTATCACCACTTTGACTCCATTTTTTACTAAGTTCCATATTTTTCCTCAATACCCTAATTTTTCATATCTTTTCATAACATTTTCAATGACCTGTGTTTCACATATCTATCACAGTAATTTCCTATTCTTGCATTTTAGCTTGTAGAATATATTTCACTATAATATTCTATCACACATTAAAAGATTGCTACAAAAGGTAACGAAATGTTTCAGCAGGAGGTGGAAGACTTGAGGAAGGTGATGAAGACATGTACAAGCACTTCGCTACAAGCTCGGTGTCTCAGCAGGAGGTGGAAGACTTGAGGAAGGTGATAAAGACAAGCACAAGCACTCCGCTACAAGCTCGGTATCTCAGCAGGAGGTGGAAGACTTGAGGAAGGTGATAAAGACAAGCACAAGCACTCCGCTACAAGCTCGGTATCTCAGCAGGAGGTGGAAGACTTGAGGAAGGTGATAAAGACATGTACAAGCACTCCGCTACAAGCTCGGTATCTCAGCAGGAGGTGGAAGACTTGAGGAAGGTGATGAAGACATGTACAAGCACTCCGCTACAAGCTCGGTATCTCAGCAGGAGGTGGAAGACTTGAAGGTGATAAAGACAAGCACAAGCACTCCGCTACAAGCTCGGTATCTCAGCAGGAGGTGGAAGACTTGAGGAAGGTGATAAAGACAAGCACAAGCACTCCGCTACAAGCTCGGTATCTCAGCAGGAGGTGGAAGACTTGAGGAAGGTGATAAAGACAAGCACAAGCACTCCGCTACAAGCTCGGTATCTCAGCAGGAGGTGGAAGACTTCAGGAAGGTGATAATGACAAGCACAAGCACTCCGCTACAAGCTCGGTATCTCAGCAGGAGGTGGAAGACTTGAAGAAGGTGATAAAGACAAGCACAAGCACTCCGCTACAAGCTCGGTATCTCAGCAGGAGGTGGAAGACTTGAGGAAGGTGATAAAGACAAGCACAAGCACTCCGCTACAAGCTCGGTATCTCAGCAGGAGGTGGAAGACTTGAGGAAGGTGATAAAGACAAGCACAAGCACTCCGCTACAAGCTCGGTATCTCAGCAGGAGGTGGAAGACTTGAAGGTGATAAAGACAAGCACAAGCACTCCGCTACAAGCTCGGTATCTCAGCAGGAGGTGGAAGACTTGAGGAAGGTGATAAAGACAAGCACAAGCACTCCGCTACAAGCTCGGTATCTCAGCAGGAGGTGGAAGACTTGAAGGTGATAAAGACAAGCACAAGCACTCCGCTACAAGCTCGGTATCTCAGCAGGAGGTGGAAGACTTGAAGGTGATAAAGACAAGCACAAGCACTCCGCTACAAGCTCGGTGTCTCAGCAGGAGGTGGAAGACTTGAGGAAGGTGATAAAGACAAGCACAAGCACTCCGCTACAAGCTCGGTATCTCAGCAGGAGGTGGAAGACTTGAGGAAGGTGATAAAGACAAGCACAAGCACTCCGCTACAAGCTCGGTATCTCAGCAGGAGGTGGAAGACTTGAGGAAGGTGATAAAGACAAGCACAAGCACTCCGCTACAAGCTCGGTGTCTCAGCAGGAGGTGGAAGACTTGAGGAAGGTGATAAAGACAAGCACAAGCACTCCGCTACAAGCTCGGTATCTCAGCAGGAGGTGGAAGACTTGAGGAAGGTGATAAAGACAAGCACAAGCACTCCGCTACAAGCTCGGTATCTCAGCAGGAGGTGGAAGACTTGAGGAAGGTGATAAAGACAAGCACAAGCACTCCGCTACAAGCTCGGTATCTCAGCAGGAGGTGGAAGACTTGAAGGTGATAAAGACAAGCACAAGCACTCCGCTACAAGCTCGGTGTCTCAGCAGGAGGTGGAAGACTTGAGGAAGGTGATAAAGACAAGCACAAGCACTCCGCTACAAGCTCGGTATCTCAGCAGGAGGTGGAAAACTTGAGGAAGGTGATAAAGACAAGCACAAGCACTCCGCTACAAGCTCGGTATCTCAGCAGGAGGTGGAAGACTTGAGGAAGGTGATAAAGACAAGCACAAGCACTCCGCTACAAGCTCGGTATCTCAGCAGGAGGTGGAAAACTTGAGGAAGGTGATAAAGACAAGCACAAGCACTCCGCTACAAGCTCGGTATCTCAGCAGGAGGTGGAAAACTTGAGGAAGGTGATAAAGACAAGCACAAGCACTCCGCTACAAGCTCGGTATCTCAGCAGGAGGTGGAAGACTTGAAGAAGGTGATAAAGACAAGCACAAGCACTCCGCTACAAGCTCGGTATCTCAGCAGGAGGTGGAAGACTTGAGGAAGGTGATAAAGACAAGCACAAGCACTCCGCTACAAGCTCGGTGTCTCAGCAGGAGGTTGAAGACTTGAGGAAGGTGATAAAGACAAGCACAAGCACTCCGCTACAAGCTCGGTATCTCAGCAGGAGGTGGAAGACTTGAGGAAGGTGATAAAGACAAGCACAAGCACTCCGCTACAAGCTCGGTATCTCAGCAGGAGGTGGAAGACTTGAAGGTGATAAAGACAAGCACAAGCACTCCGCTACAAGCTCGGTATCTCAGCAGGAGGTGGAAGACTTGAGGAAGGTGATAAAGACAAGCACAAGCACTCCGCTACAAGCTCGGTATCTCAGCAGGAGGTGGAAGACTTGAGGAAGGTGATAAAGACAAGCACAAGCACTCCGCTACAAGCTCGGTATCTCAGCAGGAGGTGGAAGACTTGAAGAAGGTGATAAAGACAAGCACAAGCACTCCGCTACAAGCTCGGTGTCTCAGCAGGAGGTGGAAGACTTGAGGAAGGTGATAAAGACAAGCACAAGCACTCCGCTACAAGCTCGGTGTCTCAGCAGGAGGTGGAAGACTTGAGGAAGGTGATAAAGACAAGCACAAGCACTCCGCTACAAGCTCGGTGTCCCGTAATGGAGGCGCCTTGATTTTAGTGAAGGTTTTTTGATATAAATCACTGAAGCTACCGTCATAGTCCTGCAGTGTTGGTGTGTATCTGGGTAAGACTTACACTACCAACAGCCTGGTAAATCAAAGAGAGGGCAACAGTTATTGGATGGAGGATCGAGCCTTAAACACTTTTTTCTCAGAATGACTCCCACGGGTTATGCGCTTCAAAAAATACAATAAAATGCTACTGGTATTATTGAAAACAGTAAATCCAACAATTTTGCCAACATAAAATCGTAATTCGTAAGGCTTTTCGAAAGAGGAAAATTTCGTTTTTCATTTATTAAAACATACAAGTGAAGAATAATATTTAACTGAATAAACAATTAAAAACCTTAAGGGAAACATTGTAAATAAGATATAATTCAAATTAACATCTGATGAAAGTGTACAAGACCTGAGGTCTGTCTGTGTACATGACTTTCTTACCTGAGGTCTGTCTGTGTACATGACTTTCTTACCTGAGGTCTGTGTACATTACTTCCTTACCTGAGGTCTGTCTGTGTACATGACTTTCTTACCTGAGGTCTGTCTGTGTACATGACTTTCTTACCTGAGGTCTGTCTGTGTACATGACTTTCTTACCTGAGGTCTGTCTGTGTACATGACTTCCTTACCTGAGGTGTGTGTGTGTACATGACTTCCTTACCTGAGGTCTGTCTGTGTACATGACTTCCTTGGTATAAACCTTGGTAATAAATACCGACAAGTTGGTTTAGAAAGACACGTAAGCAAACACTATAACATATTTATTAGAAAACGTTTCGGTCCTGGGACCTTGATCACTTCTAACATACAGAGGTAGAAAGACATATATATAGGCGGAGAGTGAGATGTGACGCACGTGACCTGAGGAATGTCATAAGAACATAAGAATGGAGGAACACTGTAGAAGGCCTACTGGCCCATGCAAGGCAGGTCCTTATCAAAACAACCTCTACCTATGATGAGGACGGGTAGACGATGAAATCATGTGACTCCTGTGTTGTTGGGTTGGTGCTGCTTAAGTATCATATATGCCAATGTTTTTGAAATTTTGTAGTTTCCAGTGTTGCGTTCTATAGTGTCGGTGACGGTGATTAGTGAGGCTTCTAGGCACCGTCGGCGTCTGAGGTCTGGTTCGGTGAGAACGAGTTGTGCCTCATTCCAGTTCATCAAATGCCCCGTGGAGTCTCTGTGGAGGACACATGCGTACCTTACATCGTCTCTGTTAGAGGCATTTCGATGCTCATTCAGGCGGACTGCAAGATCTCTGCCTGTCTCGCCTACATATTTCTTGGGACAGAACCCACAAGGGATAGTGTAGACGCCTGCTGTAGAAGTTAGAGGTGTGGGGCTGCGTTTCGTAGTGAGGTCTTTGATAGATGTGTTGTTTATGGTGGAAACGTTGATGTTACTCATAGCAAGTGCCCGGCGAGTATTCGTGGCAACATTACCACATGGGAGTGCTATGAACTGTTTTGGGGGCTGTTCCATGGGCGGTTTGTTGAGGATAGCTTGTGCCTTGGGTCTGCAATCTCGGATGAAGAAAGATGGGAACTGAAGACGTGTAAAGGCTTGTGTTATGTAAGTGCATTCTTCTAGAAAACAGGGGCTGGAGATGCGAAGAGCTCTCAAGAAGAAGCCAATGAGGACTCATCTCTTAGTGCGGGTGTCTTGGTGTGACTTCCTTACCTGAGGTCTGTCTGTGTGCATGACTTCCTTACCTGAGGTCTGTCTGTGTACATGACTTCCTTACCTGAGGTCTGTCTGTGTACATGACTTCCTTACCTGAGGTCTGTCTGTGTACATGACTTCCTTACCTGAGGTCTGTCTGTGTACATGACTTCCTTACCTGAAGTCTGTGTACATGACTTCCTTATCTGAGGTCTGTCTGTGTACATGACTTCTTTACCTGAGGTGTGTCTGTGTACATGACTTCCTTACCTGAGGCCTGTCTGTGTACATGACTTCCTTACCTGAGGCCTGTCTGTGTACATGACTTCCTTACCTGAGGTCTGTCTGTGTACATGACTTCCTTACCTGAGGTCTGTCTGTGCACATGACTTCCTTACCTGAGATCTGTCTGTGTACATGACTTCCTTACCTGCGGTCTGTCTGTGTACATGACTTCCTTACCTGAGGTCTGTCTCTGTACATGACTTCCTTACCTGAGGTCTGTCTCTGTACATGACTTCCTTACCTGAGGTCTGTCTGTGTACATGACTTCCTTACCTGAGGTCTGTTTGTGTACATGACTTCCTTACCTGAGGTCTGTCTGTGTACATGACTTCCTTACCTGAGGTCTGTCTGTGTACATGACTTCCTTACCTGAGGTCTGTCTGTGTTCATGACTTTCTTACCTGAGGTCTGTCTGTGTACATGACTTCCTTACCTGAGGTCTGTCTGTGTACATGACTTCCTTACCTGAGGTCTGTCTGTGTACATGACTTCCTTACCTGAGGTCTGTCTGTGTACATGACTTCCATACTTGAGGCCTGTCTGTGTACATGACTTCCTTATCTGAGGTCTGTCTGTGTCTATGACTTCCTTACCTGAGGCCTGTCTGTGTACATGACTTCCTTACCTGAGGTCTGTCTGTGTACATGACTTCCTTACCTGAGGCCTGTCTGTGTCCATGGCTTTCTTACCTGAGGCCTGTCTGTGTACATGACTTCCTTACCTGAGGTCTGTGTCCATGACTTCCTTACCTGAGGCCTGTCTGTGTACATGACTTCCTTACCTGAGGCCTGTCTGTGTACATGACTTCCTTACCTGAGGCCTGTCTGTGTACATGACTTCCTTACCTGAGGTCTGTCTCGCAGGGTCTATGAGAAGGGTTGGTTCAGCCGGTACGTTGGTCCGGGGTCAGGCTGTGAATCTCTGAAGGGATCCCATAGTTACAGACGTTTTATTTTTTATTTTTTTTCATTTGATTTTTTGCTAATTTCAACTATTTTTAGTTTATTTAGAAAAAATAATTATGTAACATTCACTTAGACTGGGAGCGTCAGCCTGCTCCCAAGGGCCCATCGGTAGTCTTGTTCTGTCTTGATTACCTTACCACAGGTCTGTCGCGGAGTACATGACTACTACCAGAGGTCTGTCGCAGAGTACATGACTACTACCAGAGCTCTGTCGCAGAGTACATGACTACTACCAGAGGTGTGTCGCAGAGTACATGACTACTTTACCAGAGATCTGTCTGAGTACATGACTTCCTTACCTGAGGTCTGTCTGAGTACATGACTTCCTTAACTGAGGTCTGTCTGAGTACATGACTTCCTTACCTGAGGTCTGTCTGAGTACATGGCTTCCTCACCTAAGGTCTGAGTACATGACTTCCTTACCAGAGGTCTGTCGCAGAGTTCATGACTACCTTATCAGAGGTTTGTTTCAGAGTACATGACTACCTTACCTGAGGTCTTTCTGAGAACATGACTACTTTACCTGAGGTCTGTCTGAGAACATGACTACCTTACCTGAGGTCTGTGTACATGATTACCTTACCAGAGGTATGTCGCAGAGTACATGACTACCTTACCAGAGGTTGTCACCGAGTACATGACTACCTTACCAGAGGTTGTCACAGAGCACTTGACTACCTTACCAGAGGTTGTCACAGAGTACATGACTACCTTACCTGAGGTCTTTCTCAGAGCACATAATCACTTTCTTCAGAGAAGGCAGCCTGGAAAGTTTCAAGTCATCTTTGGAAGAAGATAACAACTCAGGAGCGATCTCACACAACATGTGATGATAACTGTCCAGAGACAAAACATTTCAACTTCTGACTCTTAAGAATTAACATCTCTTAAATAACAGTGAAATTAAGAGAGTCAATGTTTTTATGTGTATTTTATGCACCAATACCTACCATGTAATACGACCTGATGAACTTCCCTGAATCAAAATTGAAGCAAACTAGATTTACAGTCGCAATTAATCACTACTACTACTAATAATTTCTGAACACTCAGGGTCAGTCGACACTCAGGGTCAGTCGACACTCAGGGTCAGTCGACACTCAGGGTCAGTCGACACTCAGGGTCAGTCGACACTCAGGGTCAGTCAACACTCAGGGTCAGTCAACACTCAGGGTCAGTCAACACTCAGGGTCAGTCAACACTCAGGGTCAGTCAACACTCAGGATCAGTCAACACTCAGGGTCAGTCAACACTCAGGGTCAGTCAACACTCAGGGTCAGTCGACACTCAGGGTCAGTCGACACTCAGGGTCAGTCGACACTCAGGGTCAGTCGACACTCAGGGTCAGTCGACACTCAGGATCAGTCGACACTCAGGATCAGTCGACACTCAGGATCAGTCAACACTCAGGGTCAGTCAACACTCAGGGTCAGTCAACACTCAGGGTCAGTCAACACTCAGGATCAGTCAACACTCAGGGTCAGTCAAACACTCAGGGTCAGTCAACACTCAGGGTCAGTCAACACTCAGGATCAGTCAACACTCAGGGTCAGTCAACACTCAGGGTCAGTCGACACTCAGGGTCAGTCGACACTCAGGGTCAGTCAACACTCAGGGTCAGTCAACACTCAGGGTCAGTCAACACTCAGGATCAGTCAACACTCAGGGTCAGTCAACACTCAGGGTCAGTCAACACTCAGGGTCAGTCAACACTCAGGATCAGTCAACACTCAGGGTCAGTCAACACTCAGGGTCAGTCGACACTCAGGGTCAGTCGACACTCAGGGTCAGTCGACACTCAGGGTCAGTCGACACTCAGGGTCAGTCGACACTCAGGGTCAGTCAATACTCAGGATCAGTCAATACTCAGGATCAGTCAACACTCAGGGTCAGTCAACACTCAGGGTCAGGCAACACTCAGGGTCAGTCAATACTCAGGATCGGTCAACACTCAGGGTCAGTCAACACTCAGGATCGGTCAACACTCAGGGTCAGTCAATACTCAGGATCGGTCAACACTCAGGGTCAGTCAACACTCAGGGTCAGTCAACACTCAGGGTCAGTCAATACTCAGGATCGGTCAACACTCAGGGTCAGTCAACACTCAGGATCGGTCAACACTCAGGATCAGTCAACACTCAGGGTCAGTCAATACTCAGGATCAGTCAACACTCAGGATCAGTCAACACTCAGGATCAGTCAACACTCAGGGTCAGTCAACACTCAGGGTCAGTCAACACTCAGGGTCAGTCAATACTCAGGATCAGTCAACACTCAGGATCAGTCAACACTCAGGATCAGTCAACACTCAGGATCAGTCAACACTCAGGATCAGTCAACACTCAGGGTCAGTCAACACTCAGGGTCAGTCAACACTCAGGGTCAGTCAACACTCAGGATCAGTCAACACTCAGGATCAGTCAACACTCAGGGTCAGTCAACACTCAGGGTCAGTCAACACTTAGGATCAGTCAACACTCAGGGTCAGTCAACACTCAGGATCAGTCAACACTCAGGATCAGTCAACACTCAGGATCAGTCAACACTCAGGGTCAGTCAACACTCAGGGTCAGTCAACACTCAGGATCAGTCAACACTCAGGATCAGTCAACACTCAGGGTCAGTCAACACTCAGGATCAGTCAACACTCAGGATCAGTCAACACTCAGGGTCAGTCAACACTCAGGGTCAGTCAACACTCAGGGTCAGTCAACACTCAGGGTCAGTCAACACTCAGGGTCAGTCAACACTCAGGATCAGTCAACACTCAGGGTCAGTCAACACTCAGGGTCAGTCAACACTCAGGATCAGTCAACACTCAGGGTCAGTCAACACTCAGGGTCAGTCAACACTCAGGGTCAGTCAACACTCAGGATCAGTCAACACTCAGGGTCAGTCAACACTCAGGGTCAGTCAACACTCAGGATCAGTCAACACTCAGGATCAGTCAACACTCAGGGTCAGTCAACACTCAGGATCAAGTCAACACTCAGGATCAGTCAACACTCAGGGTCAGTCAACACTCAGGATCAGTCAACACTCAGGATCAGTCAACACTCAGGATCAGTCAACACTCAGGGTAGTCAACACTCAGGGTCAGTCAACACTCAGGGTCAGTCAACACTCAGGGTCAGTCAACACTCAGGGTCAGTCAACACTCAGGGTCAGTCAACACTCAGGGTCAGTCAACACTCAGGGTCAGTCAACACTCAGGGTCAGTCAACACTCAGGATCAGTCAACACTCAGGGTCAGTCAACACTCAGGGTCAGTCAACACTCAGGATCAGTCAACACTCAGGATCAGTCAAAAACTCAGGATCAGTCAACACTCAGGGTCAGTCAACACTCAGGGTCAGTCAACACTCAGGGTCAGTCAACACTCAGGGTCAGTCAACACTCAGGATCAGTCAACACTCAGGATCAGTCAACACTCAGGGTCAGTCAACACTCAGGATCAGTCGACACTCAGGGTCAGTCAACACTCAGGATCAGTCAACACTCAGGGTCAGTCAACACTCAGGGTCAGTCAACACTCAGGATCAGTCAACACTCAGGGTCAGTCAACACTCAGGATCAGTCAACACTCAGGGTCAGTCAACACTCAGGGTCAGTCAACACTCAGGGTCAGTCAACACTCAGGGACTCCATCTATGCCCCTCGTTTCTTTCCTGCCAGAGAGTTAGAGCCCTTAGACTTCTCTTCTAGCAGAGAGGAACTAGAGGCAACAGTTGCGGTTTGCCGATCATCGGCAGCTATGCCTGACGGCATTCATATACGTATGTTCCAGCATTTACATCCACCAGCCCTCGCTGTCCTCTTATGTCTATTTAATCTATTTGGTTACAAGTAGTTCTTCCCAGCTGTGGAAATCTGCCATTCTTCTACCTTTTCGTAAACCGGGTACTATGGGACATGGTGCCTCCCACTATCGTCCCATTGTTCTTACCAGTGTAGTTCGCAAGGTGATGGAACGTCTCGAAAATAGACATTTGATGTGGTGTTTAGAGACACACAGTAGTCTCTCCACTAATATGGCTTTCGTAAAGGCCGTTCTACTGTTAACCAGTTATTCCGTTTAGATACGTATGCTCATAATGCCTTTGCCAACATCTACTCAGTTATTGCCATCTTTTTTGATCTAGAGAAGGCATGCGACACAACTTGGAGATATAACATCTTGACCCAAGTTCGCTCATTAGACCTCGGAGGCAATCTGCCATTTTTCCTTAAGAACTTCTTATCTGAGAAGTTAATAACATGTTAATAACATGTTTTCCCCAGATATTGGCCAAGCTGAAGGTGTCCCCAGAGATGACTCCTTAGCATCACACTTTTTCTCCTTGCTATTAATGATCTGGCATCTATTCTTCCATCTAATATTTAGTTATCAGTCTTTTGATGAGTTTGCTATAGCTTGTGCAGCCGCTGACTGTCACCTCATTGCAGTTTTTCTCCAGAATGCTGTCAACCGTGTTTCTAATTGGCTACTACTCATGGGTTTAAATATTTTGGTACTAAAACATATCAAATTACTTTCACCAGACGTGTTGTCCCAGATATTCCATTGTACCTGTACGGCTCGCGCATCCCAGAATGTGATACTGTCAGGTTTCTCGGCTTTCTGTTTGACCGCCGTTTATCTTGGAAACCTCACATTACCTCCCTGAAGGCAACTTTTCATAGGCGGCTGAACCTCCTTAAAACCCTCTCTCAATTTTCATGATCATTGAGCTTTCCTTCGACTGCATTTAGCCCTAATTTTATCACCAGGGATTGCGTTTATGTCTGTTGAGAGCCTATATGCAGAGGAGAATATTCCATTCTTGAACGATCACCGTGATGCTCACTGCCTCCGCTATTTTGTCTGCTCTCATGACCTTCGCAATCCTTCCATATACAAGATAATAACGGACAGTAGAGGTCCACTGTTTGTTCGTCGCCCCTGTTTACTTCGTCCCTTTTCTCTTCGTGTACATTCGTTCTTGTCTTCTATTCAGTTGTCCCCCTTTATATGTTCATCTAGCATCTAACTTTTTCCCTTTTTCCTTGGAAGGTTTCGACAGTTCGTGTCTGTTCTTCCTCACTGTCATGCGTGAAAGCCCAAATACCTACAGTTGCTTCTCGTTCTCTTTTTTCTTAATCACTTCCAGTCTCATTCTCATACCGTCGCAGTGTGCACTGACGGTTCTATATCCTGTGGCGGTGACAGGTTTGCAGCAGTGTTTCCGGACAGCGTGGTGCGAGGGCATTTTTACAGTTGAATTGCATGCAATTCTCGTAGCAATTATCCGTATTGCAACTATGCCTGTCTCGTTATTTGTAGTAGTCTCAAACTCCCTTGGTGCTTTGCAAGCTATTAAAAGTTTTGATTCACCTCATACCTTGGTTCTTCATATACAACTTTGGTTATGCCGCATTTCTGTTGGGTCCCCGGTCATGCTGACGTACATTGCAATGAGCAGGCAGACATTGCTGTGCGGTCAGCATTACGTGGCATCCGAGTTTCATATTGGTACTCCATTCACAGACTGTTTTCTTATAATCTCTAACCACCTTCACAACTGTTGGCAACAACGTTGGTCTGATATGACACATAACAAATTAAATTCTATTAAACCAAGTTTAGGTTTCTGGCCATCTTCTTGTCATCTCAGTTGAGGGTGTGAGATTATGCTCTCCTGTGTTCGCATCGGGCACACTTGACTTACTCATGGGTATCTCATGGAGAGGCGCCCTGTTCCACACTGTGAGAATTGTCAGGTTCCAGTGTCGGTTTGCTACATTTTATTGGACTGACCGGTATCAACGATCACGCAGAATTTATGTCTGACGTTGTCACATCTCTTCCCTCCTTGCTGATGGAACCGCCTTTCACTCGGACTCACTTGTTGATTTTTTGAAAGCAATTGATTTACTGTGCAAAGTTTGATGATACTTGAATATTCCTCACAGCCCCTTTATCTTTCCACCTCTGTTCTCCTCTCCACCCTAGCTGCTCCCTGACCCAGCAAAACCCCGGCCCTGCAGCGCTCTATCACCCTAATAGATAATGTAACTATTTAGTGGCCAATATTAGTTGCCTGCCTATAAGAAGGCTTTAGGATGTCTTAATTATTATGTACACACACTTATAATAATTGTATTAATTTTATGTAATATGACAATAGTGTGTATAATCAATTAAACCAGAAGATCAATAAATTACTTAACATTGTCAGTTACAGTAAATTTTTCTTATATATATATAACTGTTTTATATATATATATATATTATAATAATATATATATATATATATAATATATATATATATTATATTATATATAAATATATATATATATATATATATATATATTATATATATATATATATATATATATATATATGTCGTGCCGAGTATGTAAAACTGGTCAATTAGCAAAAACTCATTTAAAATTAAGTCCTTTCTAAAATTTTCTCTTATACGTTTAAAATTATATTTTTTTCATTAATGTTAATGTAAAATTTTATAATTTTGCACCAAAAGAATCTTAGAAAACTTATCCAACCTTATTATAACACGAGTAATTTATTTTAGCCTAACCCAACTAAATATATTTTAGATTTGTTTACATTATTATTATAATCAAAAAGAAGCGCTAAGCCACAAGGACTATACAGCAGATTTGTTTACAATAATTTAATATTAAACAAACACAGTGAAATATATTTTTTTCGTTAGGTTCAGGATGATTTTGGCGAAATTATTGCATACACAAATTTTCACTTGTCCTATATGGCAAGATGAACGTTGCTATTTAAGCCAAGATCGCAAGTTCTGCCTATTCGGCACGATATATATATATATATATATATATATATAAAAAATATTATAATATATATATATATATATATATATATATATTATATATATATATTATATATATATATATATTTTTTTATTTTTTTTATTATCACACCGGCCGATTCCCACCAAGGCAGGGTGGCCCGAAAAAGAAAAACTTTCACCATCATTCACTCCATCACTGTCTTGCCAGAAGGGTGCTTTAACACTACAGTTTTTAAACTGCAACATTAACACCCCTCCTTCAGAGTGCAGGCACTGTACTTCCCATCTCCAGGACTCAAGTCCGGCCTGCCGGTTTCCCTGAATCCCTTCATAAATGTTACTTTGCTCACACTCCAACAGCACGTCAAGTATTAAAAACCATTTGTCTCCATTCACTCTATCAAACACGCTCACGCATGCCTGCTGGAAGTCCAAGCCCCTCGCACACAAAACCTCCTTTACCCCCTCCCTCCAACCCTTCCTAGGCCGACCCCTACCCCGCCTTCCTTCCACTACAGACTGATACACTCTTGAAGTCATTCTGTTTCGCTCCATTCTCTCTACATGTCCGAACCACCTCAACAACCCTTCCTCAGCCCTCTGGACAACAGTTTTGGTAATCCCGCACCTCCTCCTAACTTCCAAACTACGAATTCTCTGCATTATATTCACACCACACATTGCCCTCAGACATGACATCTCCACTGCCTCCAGCCTTCTCCTCGCTGCAACATTCATCACCCACGCTTCACACCCATATAAGAGCGTTGGTAAAACTATACTCTCATACATTCCCCTCTTTGCCTCCAAGGACAAAGTTCTTTGTCTCCACAGACTCCTAATTTGCACCACTCACTCTTTTTCCCTCATCAATTCTATGATTCACCTCATCTTTCATATATATATATATATATATATATAAATATATATATATATATATATATATATATATATATATATATATGCAGTCCACAACCATATTAAATACATCCAGTGTTACTGGCTTGAAATATTTTGTTGAATAATTTCAAGCCAGTAACAAATAATATAAGGTCCAGATGTGCGAGTTTGAGGAGCTGAGGTGGACAGTGCTGGAGGAACACTGTAGTGACCCACTATTGCTAAAGTTCCACCTGTCTCCGAGGTTTAACTAGAGCAGTAAGTTTTATTTTAGATGCGCCAGAGTTCTCCTCAGTTATGTGGGTGATATGATAATTCAAAATTGTATTTGTGAATTTCACCGACATAATTTTTCACATAATTATTATAATTAGTACTATTATTATTACAACTACTCTTTTATAAATTCATAAATATTAAAGCTTACTCTGATGTTCTGAACTTTTCATGGCAGATAATGGCCTTGACAGACACCTTGTTGAGGCAGTACTCTAACTCACTGGGCCGGTAGGCTGGGTTGATGTTCACCTGGACAATGAGGAAATATAATCAGTAGACTATCTCACAGGCGATGTTGAAGTGAGAAACTTTGGGTAGTTATGAAGACAGGTTGGACAGGTACATGAGTAGGTGTGGGTGGGTGAGTTAGACCTGTCTAGCAAGACTTAAGAAATCGTAATGACACGATTGCAAATAAACCATACCCCCGGCCGGGATTGAACCCGCGGTCATAGCTGGTCTAGCTGGTCTAGTGGCTAACGCGACGGGCTGGAGTTTTGAGACTATGACCGCGGGTTCAATCCCGGCCGGGGGTATGGTTTTTTTTCTGTCTAGCAAGGGTCGTTAGGCCTGCTGCTTTACTCCACTATTCTAATATTCTTAGGAGCCATTAAGAACCTGGGAAATGAGAGGTAATAGAGTTGGCTAATAATAATAGAGAAAGATACTTTCAACTGGATCAAGAGCCTTTTCTTACACTATAAAGACACATGTAAAGTAAAAGGACACAAATGCAACTAATGTGACATTTTATTGTGGCAACGTTTCGCTCTCCAGGAGCTTTGTCAAGCCGGCTTGACAAAGCTCCTGGAGAGCGAAACGTCGCCACAATAAAAGTCACATTAGTTGCACTTGTGTCCTTTTACTTTACATATTGTCGGTAATTCTACCAACATTACTATAAAGACACATGCATTATCCCTTGAAGGTTAATACGAAATACAATGACCGTGTAGAAAGAATCGAAGATAAGCTTATTAAGAGTGTACATACAAATAACATAAAAGGCACAACATCGTGACTGGAACGGTACACAACCCGTATATAAAAGAGAGGAGCTTACGACGACGTTTCGGTCCGACTTGGACCATTTACAAAGTCAGCTCCTCAATTCTATATGCGGGTTATATGTGTACGTATAACTGGAAGGACCTAGTGCATATTAGAAGAAGAGTTACAAGGATGGAATGACATCGTACTGAGAGGTAACAACTTGTGTGACTCTCTTACCTGGAAGTAAAGACTAGTAGTCTCTGGAGTTTGTTTTCCTTGATTAGCTGAATTTACAGTGTAAGAGCTGCCATCCTACCTCAGCTTGATTCAAAATTTTGACCTTTTATGGTTTACTATCATCCCTCAGGATGCAACTCACAACATTCACTAACAACTCTTGTATCCATTTACTACTAAATGAACAGGGGAATAGTTATAAGAAAAATGACCGCCGTCTCCACCTTCTCCAGGATAGAAATCGGGTCTTACGAATCGAATCGAATCGAGGACGACGAGAGCTGTCGTAAGATGGGAAGGAAGAAGGATATGGAAGGATGGAAATAACTGGAAAAGGATGGGGAGGAGGGGAAGAGGAGGAATCAAGGCAAGTGGCCCAACCACTTTGGGACATGTGGTACAAAAGTACTGGAGACGTAGATAGAGAGGCTTGACTGATGTCATTGCTTGGCTCACTGGGAGAGGATGGCGAAGGCAGCGGTAGGAGCTGGGAGTGTCAGAAGGCAGCAAGCAGGATGAGTTGGTTATGGTCTTAAACCGTTTATCAGTGCGGTAAATTGTTTTCGAGAGAGTTGTATCACACTTATGGGAGAGCTGTAGTAGTATTCGTTGGTTTGGAGTTGGTGGAGTATCTGGTTGTAGGTCTTACGGTTGTGAGCCGACAACGGTAGTACTGAACCCATAGGGTACATACAGAAATTTGGGAATGAGAGGCAATCAGGTGTGATCCTTGGGAAAATAGGTAAATTTCCTTGAATCAAGAGCTCTTCACCGATATCAGCCCTATTGGGTTAGAAATAATACCTTCATACTGAAATATCTGATTGGGAGGTTACTGATCAGTAGATCATGTTTGTGAAGTTTGTGTCCTGGAAAAAAGACAGCAGGGAGCAAGTGATGGTGAATGAGCTTTCTTCTTTGGATTACCCAGTCTTTGTGGGGAGATGACTTAAGAAATCAATACCTCTCACCAGTACAAGTCCAGCCTTAGCAGCAGCAAGTTTTGTGAGGTACCATTCATAGGTGTTGGGCGCCCAGATACCAAGACGATCTCCACGCTCAAGACCCAGAGCCAATAGACCACTTGCTATTTCCTCACTCTGAAATTAATAAATTACTCAGAACTTCTACCCTATGATTCGACTGGAAACGTTTCGGTCCGCTGACCTTGGTCACTTAAAATGTAGGAGTGACCGAGGTTCACGACCGAAACAGTTTCATTAAATTACCAATTGTTTACATTTTGTCTTTCTCCAACAATCTGTATCTCATAACAAATTAAAATACTCATAGAGCTTCTGATGCCCAATGATACAATATAAAACTTTTCGGTCCATGGACCTTGGTCATTCAAACTGTAGAGTGACCGAGGTCCAAGATCGACTCATTTTAATAAAATATCCTGTCTTTTTCCAACAGTCTGTAGGTTGGATTTGAGTGGGACTTGCACATCAGAGCTTATTTCTTGGGTGGCATTGAAAATTGGGTCGGGCAAATGTTTTGTTAGTGGGATAAATTGCAAAGGACCTGCCTAGTATGGGCCAACAGGCCTCCTGCAGTGTTCCTCCTTTCTTATGTTCTTATTTCATAATATCATTAATTCAAGTTTATATGAAGAGTATGAACATTTTTTAGGCTTAATCTTATAAAAACATCACCAGTTTATGCCTATAGCAACTTCAATGTTGCTTTTCGGTAATGTACTGTATTAACATAATCCAACCTAGCCTAGCCTAACCTAGCTTAAGCTAACATGAGGATGATATACATTAATAAAAAGATTAAATCGTACAAGTTTGATGGAAAACGGGGTAAATATAACAAAAGTGAGATCAGAGAAAACTAACTCTTACAAACATTATCTTAAATTTTACCTCTTGTTTAACTTGTTGATTTTAAGAAACTAAGTTTTTTTTTATTTGGTGGCTTTTTTACCACTGTGAGACTTTACCAAATACTTGACTAAGCCCACCAGTGGTCGAAACATCACCTTACTCTGTTATGAGTCCTTGATTCACTACGTGTCAGCTGCTGCCATTACCTCTTGTTTAACTTGCGAGAATGTTGCTCTCTTGCCCTGCTGGACGGAGACAATGGCTTCTCTGTCACCAAACATGTCCTCGGCTCGGTCCACCATGTTACCCATATGTATCCCCAGTAAGGGCCGCGTGCCTGGGTTGGACACATAGCTCCAAGTAAGTGTCTCACTACTACGCTGCCTGGAAGTAGATTATTATTATTATTATTATTATTATTATTATTATTATTATTATTGGGAAGCCTCATATCCGTAAATTTTATACAGCACCTGAGGTGAAGAGCCTCGGATACAGAGGTTACATCCGAGGGAGAGAGTAGCTCCCATTCCATAAATCAAGAGCCTTCACCAGCACCAACATTCTCGCCATCTCTTTCCTTCACTTTGAGTGTTATGCATTATGTATATGATGTATGTGTGTGTGTGTGTACTTACCTGATTGTGGTGGCAGGGGTCGAGACTCAGCTCCTGGCCCCGCCTCTTCACTGATCACTATTAGGTCCTCTCCCTCCCTGCTCCATGAGCTTTATCATACTTCGTCTTAAAACTATGTATGGTTCCTGCCTCCACTACATTACTTGCTAGGCTATTCCACTTCTTGACAACTCTGTGACTGAAGAAATACTTCCTAACATCCCTTTCACTCATCGGAGTCTTCAACTTCCAGATGTGACCCTTTGTTTAGGTGTCCCTTCCCTGGAACATCCTGTCCCTGTCCACCTTATCCATTCCGCGCAGGATTTTGTATGTCGTTATCATGTCTTCCCTAGTCCCTCTGTCCTCCAGTGTTGCCAGGCCGATTTCCCTTAACCTATCTTCGTAAGACATTCCCCTTAGCTATGGAACTAACCTTGTTGCAAACCTTTGTACTTTCTCTAATTTCTTGGCGTGCTTGACCAGGTGTGGGTTCCAAACTGGTGCTGCATACTCCAGTATGGGCCTGACGTACACAGTGTACAGTGTCTTGAACGATTCCTTATTAAGGTATCGGAACGCTGTTCTCAGGTTTGCCAGGCGCCCATATGCAGCAGCAGTTATCTGGTTGATGTGTGCTTCCGGAGATGTGGTCGGTATTATACTCACCCCAAGATCTTTCTCCTTGAGCGAGGTTTGTAGTCTCTGACCATCGAGCCTATACGTTGTCTGCGGTCTTCTTTGCCCTTCTCCGATCTTCATGACTTTACATTTGGAGGGGTTAAATTCGAGAAGCCAGTTGCTGGACCACTTGTCCAGCCTGTCCAGGTCTCTTTGTAGTCCTGCCTGATCCTCATCTGATTTAATTCTCATTAACTTCACATCATCTGCGAACAGGGACACTTCTGAGTCTATCCCTTCCATCATGTCATTCACATATACCATAAATAGCACTGGTCCTAGGACTGACCCCTGTGGAACCCCGCTAGTCACACGCGCCCACTGTGATACCTCATCACGTACCATGACTCGTTGTTGCCTCCCTGTCAGGTATTCTCTGATCCATTGCAGTGCCCTTCCTGTAATAAGCGCCTGATCCTCTGGCTTCTGCACTAACCTCTTGTGAGGAACTATGTCGAAGGCCTTCTTGCAGTCCAAGAAAATGCAGTCAACCCATCCCTCTCTCTCGTGTCTTACTTCTGTTACTTTGTCCTAAAACTCCAGAAGGTTTGTGGCACAGGATTTGCCTTCCACGAATCCGTGCTGGTTGTCGTTCATAATCTTGTTCCGTTCCAGGTGTTCCACCACTCTCCTCCTGATAATCATCTCCATGACTTTGCATACTATACACGTCAGAGACACTGGTCTATAGTTTAGTGCCTAGTTTCTGTCTCCTTTCTTAAAAATGAGGACTACATTTGCCGTCTTCCATACCTCAGGTAGTTGCCCAGTTTCAAGGGATGTGTTGAAAATTGTGGTTATTGGCACGCATAGTGTCTCTGCTACCTCTCAAAGGACCCACGGAGAGATGTCCGGTCCCACCACCTTTGAGGTATCAAGGCTACTTAACAGCTTCTTCACCTCCTCCTCAGTTGTGTGTATTTCCTTCCTGTCTCTACTGTGAATACTTAAATCTCGTGTTAAGCTCCTCATATACCTAGTGATCGTTTCTTGTGAGCTCACCACCTTCTTTCCTCAGCCTGATTACCTGGTCTTTGACTGTTGTCTTCTTCCTAATGTGGCTATACATCAATTTCGGGTTAGACTTGACTTTCGATGCTATGTTGTTCTCGTACTGTCGCTGGGCCTTCCTCCTTATCTGTGCATACTCGTTTCTGGCTCTTCTACTAATCTCTTTATTTTCCTGGGTCCTTTGCTTTCTGTAATATTTTCACTCTCTAGTGCACTTAGCTTTTGCCTCCCTACACCTTCGCATAAACCAAGGGCTCGTTCTGGTCTTCCCATTATTTCTGTTGCACTTGGGAATAAACCTTTCCTCTGCCTCCTTGCATTTTGTTGTTACGTAGTTCATCATATTGTTTACCGACTTTCCTACCAATTTTCTGTCCCACTGAACCTCCTGCAGGAAGTTCCTCATACCTGTGTAGTCCCCCTTTTTATAGTTTGGCTTTTCCCATTCAACTCCTGTCACCCTCTCCACTTGTTAACTCCATTATGTATTCAAAGCTTAGAATTATATGATCACTAGCTCCAAGGGGCCTCTCATGTGTGATGTCCTCAATGTCCGAGCTGCTCAAGGTGAACACGAGGTCCAGTCTCACTGGTTCATCCTCCCCTCTCTCTCTGGTAGTGTCCCTAATATGTTGGTGCATGAGGTTTTTCTAGCACAACATCCATCATCCTGGCTCTCCATGTTTCAGGGCCCCTGTGTGGCTCCAGATTTTCCCAATCAATCTCCTTGAGGTTGAAATCGCCCATAACCAGTAACTTTGCTCGAGTGAGCGCTTCTGGGCACCTCAGCTAGTGTGTCCACCATTGCTCTGTTATTAACTTCATATTCCTCTCTTGGTCTCCTGCAGTTCTGTGGTTGGTTATTCATCATTGCAATTACTACCTTATGTTCCCCAGACTGAATTGTACCTATTATGTAATCCCTTTCTCCAATCTCGTCAATTCCTTCCATTTCCTCGAATCCCCATCGGTTTCTAATGAGCAATGCAACCCCTCCTCCCCCTCTGCTCCTTCGATCTTTCCTCAGGATCTGATATCCGGGTGGGAAGATTGCATCTGTTGTTTCAGTGAGTTTCGTTTCTATGATTGCTATGATTTGTGGGGACGTCTCATTGATTCTTTCATGCCACTCCTCACATTTATTTGTTATTCCATCCACGTTTGTATACCAAACCTTTAACTTCTTTTCTAAAACTGTTGTAACATGGGTCGAGTCACAGCTCCTAGGCCCACTTCTTCACTGGCCGCTACTAAGTCACTCTTCCCGCTCCATAAGATTTATCATACCTATTCTTAAAGCTATGTATGGATCCTGCCTCCAGTACATCACTTCCCAGACTATTCCACTTCCTGTCAACTCTGTGACTGAAGAAATACTTCCTGACATCCCTGTGATTCATCTGAGTCTTCAACTTCCAACTGTGTCCCCTTGTTGCTGTGTCCCATCTCTGGAACATCCTGTCTTTGTCCACCTTGTCAATTCCTCTCAGTATTTTATATGTCGTTATCACATCTCCGCTATCTCTCCTGTCTTCCAGTGTAGTCAGGTCGATTTCCCTTAACCTCTTCTTGTAGGACATACCCCTTAGCTCTGGGACTAGTCTTGTTGCAAACCTTCGCACTTTCTCCAGTTTCCTTACATGCTTGGCTAGGTGTGGGTCCCAAACTGGTGCTGCATACTCCAATATGGACCCAACATACACAGTGTACAGGGTACTGAACGATTCCTTATTAAGATGTCGGAAAGCTGTTCTTGGGTTTGCTAGGCTCCAGCATGCTGCAGCAGTTATTTGGTTGATGTGCGCCTCAGGAGATGTGTCCGGTGTTATACTCACCCCAAGATCCTTTTCCTCGAGGGAAGTTTATAGTCTCTGGTCCCGTAGACTGTACTCCGCCTTTGGTCTTCTTTGTCCTTCCCCAATCTTCATGACTTTGCACTTGGTGGAGTTAAACTCTAGGAGCCATTTTCTGGACCAGACCTGCAGCCTGTCCAGATCCCTTTGTAGTTCTGGCTGGTCCTCGTCTGACTGAATTCTTCTCATCAACCTCACATCATCTGCAAATAGGGACACTTCGGAGTCTATTCCTTCCCTCATGATGTTCACAAATACCAGAAACAACACCGGTCCTAGGACTGACCCCTGTGGAATCCCGCTCGTCATAGGTGCCCACTCTGACACCTCGCCACGTACCATGACTCACTGTTGTCTTCTTGACATGTATTCCCTGATCCATTATAATGCCTTCCCTGTTATCCCTGCCTGGTCTTCCAGCTTTTGCAATAATCTCTTGTGTGGAACCGTGTCAATGATTACTACTAAGTCCACTCTCTTCCTGCTTCAAGAGCTTTATCGTACTTCTTCTTAAAGCTATGTATGGGTTCTACTTCCGTATATCACTCTCCAGATTGTTCCACTTTATGACAACTGAATCATACCACGGGCGGGATTTGAACCCGCGGTCAGAGAGTCTCAAAACTCCAGACCGTCGCGTTAGCCACTGGACCAGCTAGCCACAATAAGATTCGTCCAACTAGGTATATTTCTACACCATAGGAAGGCTAGCATAGGCACCACTGTGACCACAAATGCAAGTTTTTACAGACGAATCTCCAACTAGCGTGGCCAGTGGCTAACGCGACGGTCTGGAGTTTTGAGACTCTCTGACGGCGAGTTCAAATCCCGCCCGTGGCATGGTTTGTTTGCAATCGTGTCATTACGATTTCGTGAGTCATGACAACTGAATGACTGAAGAAATAGTTCCTAACATTCCTGTGACTCATCTGAGTTTTCAACTTCCAGTTGTGACCCCTAGTTGTTGTGGCCCATCTCTACAACATTCTGCCTTTGTCCACTGTGAAAGTTCCTCTCAGTATTTTATACATCGTTATAATGTCCACCCAATCCCTCCTGTCCTCCAGTGTCGTCAATCTGATTTTCATTAACATCTCATTAGATATACCCCATTAGCTCCAGAACTATTCTTGTTGCAAACATTTACACTTTCTCTAATTTCTTGGTTTGTCTGACCAGGTGTGAATTCCATAGCGGTGCTGCATATCCCAATATATGCCTG